ATTAAACCATGGTTTTACAAGGTGTACCGTTTGCTTATTTATAAAAGAACTGCACAGTAACGGCGATACTCAAAGGTTAGCATTAGTTAGTGCAGGTTGCCTGCGTAAATTCGCTGAGACACGAATGTGGGCTAGACTCATACTGTGGTCCGTCTTCTCACTAGATTACCAAGCGCAACAGTAATCCTCCATTCGCATTCATGCTCAGAAGAGAGATATGGAATTCAGTTACTTGTTGATAAGCGTTTGCTTAAGCAATAAGCTGTTCTCTAGATCCGAGGTTTGAACCATGCAAAATGCGGACCGATATGAGCATACTCTATGCCGTGTTAAGTTTACTGAGGCATTCCTGTCCTGATGCCAGCGCGAATAAGTGCTTGTCACCATTACTACTGGTAAATGGGTTCTGGCGGTTTGTACGTAAGGTCGGTCAACCAATCTAAATGGCTTGAGGCCCAGTATCTTGAACTGAAATGCCACTGCCAGCTAGGGTCGGAGCCTGAGATGAAACGGTATCCGATGTCACATGCAAGAACGATCTCAGTGAGACCTTGCTAGTTCCAAGCCATATTTGGGTTCACCCTTTGAGTGGTGTGGTAAACAGATAATCTCTTCTAGTGATAATCTTGTATTTTTATCGGCTGCAGCAGTGAGTGATTGTGAGGGGTTTGGTGACGAACTTGCAGAAAATTCGAGGGAAGAGTTGGTGACGGGCTATGGGCTGCATTACCATAGTTATAAAAAGCTTCCTTAACTCTGAGTAAATCGCAGCCGCGCGCAATGTGACAAAGTGAAGTTAGCGATACAGGAACTAAGCACAGAATAATTTGCCATCGAAAGGTACTGTGTTAGGCCCAATGATACCAACCACAGGAATTATTTGCATGTATGGGCGAGTCATAGAATCTAGACTCTCTAACATGTCTTCGAACACGATCAGACGCAGCTACAAACTTCCATTGAGTGAGCAACAGAAGTTGGTAGTAGGAATCTTACTATTCCCACAAATTGGCCCGGTAAGGCATAATGTACATAACAACTTTACACGGACAAGAGTAAAAATACGCTGTCGCAAGGTTGTCTAGGCGAGGAGTTACTATGTACACATTCAGAGGTAGTGGAATGAAATGCAGTGACTTTTCTGTACACCAACAGGCAGGGTACTTTCACCGGTCACCAATGTTGTCACCGCTAACGGCTTTGGACGAGACAAGGTTACAGGAGTAGAGGAGATAAATGACCCACTCGTAGGTTCCGATCATGATGCAGCAGTTGGGAACTTGACGGATGTAGTGCGTGCCCAAGCCGCGATATAGACCGCGCCACCCCTCTTCGCGCACCACCATTAGCAAAGTTCCCACGAAGGTGCGATACTTATTACCACGTTCTCGCATCCGCGTCCGCGCCACCTCTGCAGGTAAATAAGGGCCGTGAGAAGACGCATGACAGTCAGGGTCGCCAAATCAATGCCGTCACAATCACATAGCATTAGACGTGTTGTCAATCTTTCTTGCCTTTCCCTCCTCTCGCATTAATTGCGATAAGTATAGAGGA